ACCCCAGATCCAATTGATAGTGGTGCTCTCCTGGCCATTGTGGAATCCGTCAAGCGCTCCTTTGCAGCCAAAGACATATTCAGTCCACCTGGGCCGAAAAAACCTACAGGATGAGTTTGTTTCAGCTGCTTGTGCGAGTGGGGATGGAAAGAATGGGAAGAAGAAGGGTACATCTAAATCCCCTCCTGCAGTATTGCCGAAGAAGGCAGGGTTTGTACCAGATTCTTTCCCCTAAGTATTGGGTGTTTTTTGACCCCTGAAGGTTTTAGAGACGCTGCGACAGATCCAATGCCCTTTACCACTTCCACCAGTGACTGAAGACAAGAACGATGAGGAAACGGGTCGAGGTAGCAGCAAGGACAAGAAAAAAAAAGAAAACTCAGAAGGCAAAGCCAAAGAAAAAAGGCAAGAAAAAGCAAACTGAGACTTCTAGCGTTTCGGGGGATGGGGACCAGGGTGAACAGTCTTCTTACAAGGCTGGTTCCTTTCAGGAAGAATATCGCAAATTTTTGAATGAACGAAAGGCTGCTGGTGAGAGCCACCAGAATGCACAAAAAAAGTTGGGCAGCTTCAGCCAAGCGAGCTGAGCTCCTGGCGGGCCTTTCGGAATCTGAGCTGAAGCGACGCCGCTTCAAGAAGTAGAGAATGGCATTGCAGGGTTTAGATCAATGCCAGGCTGAAAAACAACCAATTTGCTAGCTGTATTGAATTTTCAAGGCTCAACAGATCTCAACAGATTTGTTGTTTACTTTTAGTTGGAGGCTCAAATTTGTCCGCGGGTTTCCTTTCTCACTGCAGTGGTCTCAATCCATGGCAGATGTAGCGTCAATGCTGCGCTGGAGCCTCCCACCCATTCTGGTCTACATCGTCCTCTTGGTGAAGTTTGCTGGGATGACAATGTCCCCGCTGGACTTTGTTGAGATCTTCAGTGGAAAGGGGGAGCTTTCCAGAGCCATGCGATCAGTGGCCTGCCCCAAATATGTGTTCCATTTTTTGATTAGTGAGGCTTAGGCCAATCCTTATTTAAGTTGTGTTTGCCTCAGGCGAACTTCATTGGCGTCAGCATCGACTATGACCACGACCCCAGAACACAGGATCTGCTCTCGTCTGCAGGTTTTGCGCTACCTGGAGCTGTCCCTGAAACTTTTGGTTTGCTTTCCCCTGGCTTTAGTAATTATGTGGATGTTGAATGTTGGGTGGATTTGTCTGGTTTTCACATTGGTTGCCCAGCTGGGCAGGTTGGTGCTGAGCCAGATTCTTCAAGTGTCTCCTGGAGGCCTTGTGCTGGCCGCGTTGGTTTGCAGTTCCTTCTCCCGCATGTTGCTGGGCTTTGTTTGGCATGGTTTTTTCCTCGAGGGTTGTGGTGTTGATTTGGTGATTGAATTCCAGGGTGCCAATTCTTGGAAGAAAAGCCAACCCATTTTTTGAATATCCTCTGCTTTCCTCTGAGGAGCCGCTCCACGTCGGGAAGAACGGCATTCAACCCAGAAGGCTTCAACCGCTTCTCTTTCGCGAATGAGGGGAATATTCTAGGTTGCCGCACCGTGTTTTGCCTGTGGCTTGCAGCCTGCCGTGGAGCACGCTTCATTTTAGAACAGCCGCATGGATCCATTTTGGGCCATCACCCTTCAATGAACATGTTGTTCAAGTATGTATGCGTTGCTAGGAACTGTTTTGGCAAGTGTTTCTCTTTTACTTGGAGTTGTGAGGATGTCCTTGGTATATGTTTGATTCTTTCGAGCGCCGCTATGAGGTTTTTTCAATCAGGGTTCTGGATGGGCTCATTTGGTGGCCCAACACCAAAGCGTCATACTCTGTGGTCTTCAGATGCTGCAATCCTTGAATGCATTCATCGTCGTGGTGGGCATCTTCCACGAGAGGATGCTGTGGTTTGATCGTGTATTTATTTGAAGAAGACCGGGGGTTGAGGATGTTTAGAGTTTGGTGTGAGCCATAGCTTTTTTTACCTGGTGCTCTGGGAAATGAGGAAAGGCAGAAGCTCACAGGCAAATCGCTGGTGATCAAAAGTCTGGACAAACTGGGCCGCACTCGCACCACTGGCAAGAAAAAGGAGCTCAAAGAGTCACAGAAGCTTGGGTGATTTTGAGGAACCTATGATTTTTTTCCAGGGAGTCATTTGGCGCAAATACTAAATACACAAAACAATTGCAAAGCGTGTTGAAAAAAGTCAAACTAGTAGCCAAGGGCATATACGGCCGACTTTGGGCACTTTGTTGCTGCTGCGCTCAAAGCGGTGTGGTCCAACCCTTTGCCCGGGCCACGAGTTGAAGTTCACATTGATGAATCCAAGACCGATTGGGAGCTGTTCAGGGATCATTGCTTGGATGAGAACTTTGCCTTGAAGGGTTCGCCGTGGCATGAAGAACCTTTGTCGCATTTGCTTTCTTTTGGACTGGATGGTCATTGATTCTATTCAGAGTGATCCTCGAGTGTGTCCAAACATTGGGAAGTGTAGCCAAGCCTAGGCACAGCTTCCTCAAGTAGCAGACTATCTCCGGGCTATGTGTGAATCTCGCGGCACCCTTCCTGGCAATTGGAGCCAGCTCCTATCAGTGAAAATGCCAAGTGACTTGGCAGCAAATGTGTGCGAACCTGGTCTTCACCAGGAACCCTACGATGTCGCTAAGTGTATCGCAGCCATTTTGTTCAATGACTGGGCGCACACTGGACCAGCGGCTTTTTGCCTTGGCGGAGTATGTAGGGCAGCTTCGCTTGGAGAGGTTCGACTTGGAGGGCTACCACGAGATGGAGCGCTTTAAGTGGGAACTCGTGTCCTGGCTCTGTCCTGCAAAGGTTGAATGTTCCCCACTTTGTTCCCCTGCCTGAACATTAACATTTTACTATGGGGAAGCTTTTTGAACACATTCAGTTGGTTATCGTTCCATTGCATTGATTGTGTTTGATTTGTGAATGGTATTGGAGACTCTCCAAAACCTCAACCAACCCACATTCAGGCGGTCAGTATTGCCTTTGACCAGAGTGAGCAACAGAAGAGTCAGCGAGAGCAGAGTCAGCGAGAGCAGATTCAGCGAGAGCAGTTTCAGCGAGAGCAGTTTCAGCGAGCGCAGATTCAGCGAGAGCAGTTTCAGCGATGGCAGATTCAGCGAGAGCAAATGCGACTACATGCAGGAGCCTTGGTTCAATAATATTAAAATATATGGTTGGCTGGATAAGGTTTTTTTTGGTCGTGTATGTTTTTGCTGGGTGGCTAGGCTAGATGGATTGATACCTTTATCCGGGCAAGATCCTTTGCGAGGAAAGCGTGCAACTCGAGTGTCTTCAGATCGTGATTCGTCCTCCTCTTCCTACAGCTCAGACTCTTCATACGATTATTCCGCAACCACGGCCAGCAATTCTACAGCGCCTTGCTTTGCGCTAGTCTCCCTGCGCTTTGTCTTGGGGATGTGTCCTTTTCCTTTTTTTGCAGATGTTCAATGAACCTTCTTGCGGTGTCCCAGGATTGAAAGCGACAGACAGGGCCCTGGAACATGGCTTTAAATTTGAGCAGGAAAAGCACTGGAGCTCTTCTACACCTCTTGGTCGGAGAGTTCACCCTTTGCATTTCACAAAGACTCAAACGACATCAAACGACACCAAATAAAGTTGTGGATCTTTCAAGGTTGAGGGTCATGTTGGATGTGTCCTTTCTGTTTGTAAGGTGGGAGGGGTGCAAATGTTCAGTTTGTTAGGGGTCCACTACATATAACATAACGGGGCCAAGTCGACCAGAGTTGGAAAACCCAGTTGTTTTGAAGTTGGGGTGGGGACCCGGCCATATCTGGCCTTATCTCAGGTGACTTTCCTGATCGAGACCTCAATCCAGCAAATGATGATGCTGATTCAGATGACAGCTGGTCGTTGGTGTTGCCAGACCCGGAGTTCCTAGGCTAATCAAGTGATATGTGACAGGTTTCTATGTTTTTTGGTGATCTTTGACAACCACCTGAGGTAAAATGGCTTTATGTCGCCAATGATGATGGGAAATTCGGGGGGCCAGTTGTTGAAGAGTTACAACTGGCATGTCAAACAAACAGGGGTTGCAAAGAAAATCACAAAAAAAAAGAGCGTGAAAATCCGTGAAAACGCGTGAAATGTAACACTTTTCCCTGGATTTGTGATGCTTTTCCCCGTGAAAACGCGTGAAAATTGTTTTTCCATTTTTCTACAAACTCTAGTGTGGCAGATTGGCTACAATAGGGTCTCACTGGTATCACGCTTGCGACACTTAAGCCATGAACATCGACATCGATGACTTGATGCGGGACCACGGCTTGACAAGAGAGGAAGCTGCGGAGGTGGTGCGCCGGCTGAAAGCTACACCGGCATCTTGGACTACATACCTTTAGACTTGTTTCTTTTCAACTGCATGATACCTCGTGGGATAGTTTTTGGACTGGAATGGGGAACCAACCAGGCATCATCAACAACAATGACACCAGAGACGAGACCAAAGAGGCTGAGACCCATGATTGCGACGCCAGCCAAGTTCCCAGAACCAAAGGGCAAGGCAAAGGCAAAAGCTCAAAACAAAAAGCCTGAGGAGAAACCGGAGGAACCAGAAGAAACCAAGAAGTCCAAGAAAAAGAAGAGAGAAGATGAAGAAACCAAGGACGTAGAAGAAGCCAAGAAGCAGAAGAAGAAGACAAAGAAGGTGGAAAATGAGGAATTGGAGGAACCAGAGAAATCCCAGAAGAAGAAGACGAAGAAGAAAGACAATGAGGAATTGGAGGAACCAGAGAAACCCCAGAAGAGGAAGACGAAGAAGGCTGAGGATGATGAAGCAGAAGACACCAAGAAGTCCCAGAAGAAAAAAAAGACAAAGGGGGCAGATGAGGAATTGGAGGAACCAGAAGCCAAGAAACACCAGAAGAAGACGAAGAAGGCAGAGGAAGAGGAAGAAGCCAATACCCGGAAGAAAAAGAAGACAAAGGGGGCAGCAGATGAGGAATTGGAGACGAAGACAAAGAAGGCAAAAGATGTGGAACCAGCCAAGAAGCCCAAGAAGAACAAAACGGCAGAGAAGAATAAGAAAAGTGAGGAGATCACCGAGGAACCCAACGACAAGTGACAGAAGAAGAAGAAGAAGCAGACTAAAGAGGCAGAACCTACAGCAGAGCCAGAAGAGGAAGCAGAGGAGGAAGCACAGGAGGAAGCAGAGGAGGAAGCAGAGGAGGAAGCACAGGAGGAAGTGGAGGAGGAAGCAGAGAAAGAAGCACAGGAGGAAGTGCAGGAGGAAGCACAGGAGGAAGCAGAGGAGAAGCACACAGAGGCAAAGGATGAACACATGAAAGACGAGCTGAAACAGGAGTCTTCTTCAGAGGTGATGACCTCACCTGCTGGAGTGCCGCCTGTGCGATCACCTCCTTCGGATGTCTTCACACTTCTTGAAGGGCAAGCTCAAATGATGGCCCAGGCAGCAGCTACAGTCTTTACAAACTTGTCACAGGAGGCCTCGCAAACAGAGTCTCAACTTTTTGCAGGGTTTCTTGACTGCTCTGTGTCTTGTTTGGTATTTTTTTGCTGGAGACTATGTAAAAAGACATATTCATAATTTAAGGGGATTTTTTTGACATTCTTAGGTTGGGTGGATCTGCGAGCGAAGTGGCTACTCAGAAGCTTCAGGAGGAGATGGTTCGCGCGATCACGGCTGCGTTGACCAACGTCTTGCCAGTGAACCAGGCAGTAGATATTTCAAAGTCAAAGGCACCGCAGTTCACCAGTATGCTGGCTTTGCCGGCTCCATTTGCTGACACTCAGATCGACCCTGAATCCAATGAGAAGGAACAGCCGGAAAAGGAGCAGGAGCAGAAGCCAGATGAAGTCCTGCCAGCTGAAGCTCCTGAACCCGCTCCTTCTGCTCCTTCCCAGGTTTCAGCTTTGTCTCCGAGTGGATTGGCTGCGGCAGAAACCAATGCGGCTTCCAAAGAACTTCAAGATGCATGTAAGCCACTTCCAGAAGAATCAGAGTTGTTTGATCGAGAAACAGAACCTGGAGAAGTAGCATACACCAACAAGGCGCAGATCAAGGGTATGAAAGAAGGCTGGGTGGTCAAACTCTCGATTTTTTCTTGATTGGCGTTTGTGGTTCCAAGAGTTTTGTCAATCCTCCATCCTTTCCCCTGTGGCAGATGAGATCCTGGAATTGCTGAAGGCTGGCAAGATTCCGTATGAGTGGATCAACACCAGCAACTGTCGGAAGGCAGCCATGAAAATGAACCGTTGGTGTGAAGATCATGGGGACGCGGAAACCGTACCGAATGTCATGAAGATGTTCAACGGCTCTCACACAGAAAGGCTGAAGCTCCTTCGGAATTGGATTGCTTCGGGTGGTGTTGCAGAGAAGGTGGAAACTACGCTTACTGTCACCAAGGAGCAGATGCAGCAGGGCAAGGAGAAAGAGAAGCTGCTCACTATCCAGGGCATGAAAGACCATGGGTTCTCAGAGCCACTGAACGGATGAATCGGATTTAATTTTTTGTTTCCAAAGGTTTCCAACTTTTTGTTTGCTGGTCTGAAACCATGGTGCTTTCTTTTTTCAGCCATTCCATCCAGGGCGAAGATCAAGCACATCTGTCAGACCTTCACTCCGGTCCTCGACCCTGACTGCCCGCATCTTTTGGAAGAGACCAAATGGTGGTGCAATGTCGAGCAGGAAAGGACAAGGACTTCCACCAACAAGCAATGTTTGTCTGGTGAAGTTCGCGTGAAGACCGATGGAGGTGTGATCAATGCCCTTACCAACGAGCCGGCTTCGAATGGCCAAGCCCCTCCCAGCGCTTTCAATGTCCGGGGCCTTTTGGATGATTCTTTCAAACCGAAAGCCGTGCGTGCAGAGCCTCAAGAGGAGGATCCTAAGCCAAAGACGAAGCCAAGGAAGCCTCAAAGGACAAAGAAGGGCACCAGCACCAAGGTTTGTGAACCCAAGAAGCGGTCAGAGATGCTGAAGGATGCTTGCTCCTAGTCTGGTCATCTTGTTCCCTTCTTCGGGGTTGGTGGGGATCGCAATTTGGAATTTTTTGTGGTGATCATTGTGTTGATCCTTAGGTGCTGATGTGAAGAAAGAATACATGGCTTGCTCAGTGGGTATGGACCTGCCCAAGGGCAACGATCTACGGACTCAGCTCAACACTGCAAAGGTTGAGCTACAGGTGCTGTTGGACGAGCTTCGTAACTACGAAGACGTGGATTCAATGGCAGAGGAAAAGTTTGACTCCATTTGTGAGAAAGTGAAGGTCAAGGCTGGGTTGGGTACATTTGGTTTTCAACTGAGGGGTGCTAGGTTTTCCACCAAATGATCACCCACATATGTGGAGGTGTCTGGCAACAAGATGCTGGTGGCACAGGCCAAAGCAGTCCTACGTGAACTGGTGCCTGGTATGTCAAAGGGAATAATTGTTTATGTCACCTGTGGTTTTGTTGATAGTCCATCGCTTTGTTGAGAAACCTTGTGTGGTTCCAATATCTTAGGAAAAGGCGAAGTCGAAAGATGATTGATGAGCCAGTCTTGATGGGCAGCGCACTGAATCAAGTGTGCGATAGGGGTACACCCACAAGGGACAAACCTTTGTGTGGCTTTTGGAACCGCTCTGAACCGGGAAACAAATGTGCAAGAAACAATTTTGAAGAGCTAAGTGCAACAAACAAAAATATTGTTTGCAGAGTGGCCCTCGCAGGTCTTGTACCAGCTCCCATACGAGACGAATTGGACAAAGCGACCCTAGGCTTTGCAGAATATGTTTGGAAGACTTGGGAAAAGTTAGAATTTAGCAGAAAGTGTTTTTGTTGTAGGACTATTTGGCAACCATATAGCAAGGATTGCTAA